CATCTACTGAGTTCCTCTAGTGTACCAGGCAATGGTACATGAATGTGCTGTGATATTATCTATAATCTTCACAGCCATTCTGCAGGTCATATTGTAACTTACACTTTTCAAAGAATGGATGCAATTAACCCCTTATCAACAACTAGCAAGCGATTAAACCAGGAGTCAAACCTAGCGTGATTTGACTCTAAAGTAAGTTAAAAAATAATTCCAACGAAGTTTCTGTTTAGTTCAGTCATGCACTATACATTGATGTTTCAGATAGTCCTGAAGTCCAGAGCTGAGCTAAACCAGTGCTTCACATTTGAAGAAACTGAAGCCTCCAAAAGCAGGGAGAGTTTAAACAAACGATTTTAAAGGTATGTCTTCAAATATTAAGCTAGCACACATGTGCACATGTAACCACATGTATGTAATCCAAATATTCCCATTCTATATTCATGGATTTCAATAGAGAAAATGGTTTTTACCATATTTCTGCTTTCAAAGACACTGGATCTTGAATGGACCTTTATCTAGAACAAAGGTTTGGCCTATATACCTAAAACCCAAATCACAGTAACTTGTATAGGCTGATTTTTATTCTTCTCCCTTGAACAACACAACCTGAATTGTACACATCACTTGTACTCATACCACATTGGTCTTAAAGTGTAATTACGGAAAAAAGAAAATCTAGTCCCAGAACACAGCCAGCTGTAAGGATGTCTGGGGGAAACATAGTCTTTAACATGGGCCACCATGCACCTCACTGAACATCTGACCGCTAAGGAAGAAGTATTTTTCTTTAAATACTTGAGCTAACTCACTTTCTTTAAATACTTGATTTAACCACATTTAAAATTTTAAGAAATTTTAAAAAATTTTTAAGTAATTATAAAAGTTTCTTAAAAGTTAATTGAAGATGCTACTAATCTGAAATGAGAAATCTAATTGCATGGAATTTCTTTACTTAGGTCTATTTTCTGTTATGAACTGGGCCAACACTTTCATAGAATCATGGTAATATTTGAGTTATTTTTAAAATAAATATTTATTGAGCAATAAATTACCTGTGTCAGTTCTGAAAAATATATCAGTAACAGTCTCGAAGTAGGTTCACAGTATTCATTTATCTATATCAATCATCTGAACTATTAAATATTTGGGAAGAAATAGAAGCTATTTTAGCAATGTCATTTCTGTATTAAAATTATGTATTTTGGTCTTAATTTTAATTTTTATTTAGAATTTAGATAAAATGCCTTACTTTTATAATAAATCAAAATGGTAAATTAAGCCTTGCCAGGTTGCACACACCTTAATGCCAACACTCTGGGAGGCTGAGGCAGGAGGATTGAGAATTTGAGCTCAGCCTAGGCAATATAGTAAGACCATGCCTCAAAGATAAAAAATGGCAGGAAATGTAGCTCAGTGTGAAGACCCTAGGTTCAATCCTAAGTATGAAAAAATAAATAAATTAATATACCAAAAATCTTAGAGCCAGGAAATTTTTCACATAAGTTATTTGAGTAATATTTTAATGTAATAGTGGAGCAAAATATGTTACATATCAAAATTAACCTATCTTTAAAGTTAAAGAACAAATTCTTTTTAAAGAATAGTATGCAGTTAAAATAGAATGAAAAATGAACTTAAAGAACGTATAATACACTGTCTATCATGGAGAATTTATACTACATCCACCCTTTGTTATTTGAGAGAAAGTACTGTATTGATATTAGTTTGACTCATTACAGTACACAGAAGGTGAATATTGATGACAGGTCCTGGGTGAAGTTCCTCAGGAACTGAGTGGCAAGTATGTACAGCTCTAACAAATTGACTTTCTAGGACAACAGATGGCTTAAGCGTCTGGGAGTTTTGCCACTAGGCATTTGTTAGCTAGGGATCAAGATTATACAATGTGCTGTATCAGAGGATTTTTGTCCTTAGCCCCGTTATGCCTAACAGGACAATGATGATTTTAGGTACACATTTATTCTACTTAGTCTTAGGCAGCCTGTGTGCTTCTTTGAACAGAATATGTACATATTCTAGCATTAGCATTTGCTTTCTTAGAAAGGAGTATTCACAGCCAGTAAAATATATGCCTTTTTAGGTGAAAAATAAAATTTCCAAGGCACACCCCAACCAGATTGTAATGTAAATGTGATAATTTGCACAACATGCACAACCTATCTTCCCCTTTCCCTCACTACGGGTTTGCATACAGCATTTACTGAGCCACGAGCACACTTGTGCAGTAAACCTGTGATGTGTGGGCATTCAGTGAGGCTCCTAGCAGGCCCAGAGTAACTGTTAACATCTCCTGAGGAACAGGGGGAAGGGGAGGCTGACTGTCCCCAGATGGGGTTGCGTTCATTGTTTGAACCAGAACTTGTTTCCAAAGCAGATAAAACACTATGTCCTTCCAAGAAGCACCAACAAGAATGGAACCCTCTTTGATCTTTTCCTCTTCCTGTAACTTCCCTGTAATAGCTAACCACTTACACCAAAAATTAAAGAAAGAGAAACACAAGACAACCCAGAGATCCTTTTCTTTCTGGTTCTTCCTTTCTCACAAGTATGCCAAAGGTAGAGAGAGTTGGAGCACAATCGAGCTATGATACATAAATTGTGGTAACTTCAGTAATTCTGCATACAAATTAAATGCTCTTATATTTGCATTTAAAACTGCCATAAAGATGAATGATAAAATTCATCCTAAATTTTTAATTATTTTAGTTTTTCTTAGAACATGAAGTAGTAAGTTTTAAAAACTCATGACTAGTTTGAGAGTGAATGAAAAAAAAGAGTTTTATTCTTTAAAAGCTTGAATAGAAATTTACTTATTTTTTGAACAAGTAGCCCCATATTTTCACCGTGCACTGAGTCCCAGAGTTTCTGTAGCTCTTGTGTGAGCTCCACTCTGTCCCTCAGCTGTCTCTGCAATGGTTCCACTTATGTCACTGCCAAGTCTGATTCTTGGTCCCTCCCACCCCCCAGAATCTGCTAATCACTCAGTTTCTTTTATTCCTCTTTTGTTGAATTTATCTTAGGTGAGTTCTGTTCTTTGCATGGTCTGATAATAATAATAATAAGATAATAGCTAAATCTATAAAGTCTTACTCTATACTAAAACATATTCTCAAAATGGTGAAGTAAATACTGCAAGAAAACCTGGAGTTAAAAATCAAATACATTATCTGAGTTCACCAGTTAATACATCCAGGGCCACAATTCAAACCCAAGTAATCTGACTACAACCCTGCGTGGAGCCACATTTCTAATAATGTTTGTCCTTTTAAACAGTGTTGATCCCTATGGCAAGAATTTTACAGAGTTCTAAGTAGGCACTGTGCCATCTAAACAAATAGCTATTGTTATACTCCAAGGCAGTAAATGTTTCAATCATGTTTTTTTGCTGAAAACATAATTCTTAGCCAAGGAAGATCCAGTAAACTGTCTTTTCTGAGAACCACGTTGGTGGTGATCAGAATGCTCAACAGCTTTTATGTCTCTGGGAATTTTTGTCTCTGAGTTTTATTTCTCTGGATTTTTAGCCTTCTGGACTTTGTAAGATTTCACCAGTGTGTGATTACACTGATTAGGGAATGGCAGACAAAGTAAGGAAGTTAGATGGCTTCAAATACAAATATTCACCTTCTTTTTCTGTTTATCAAAAGTACAAAACTCGCTTTCTCACCAAGTTTTTTTCCATGCTGTGTATGCTATTGTTGCTCTTGCTAAAACTCACACAGATATCCTGACAGCATAAAAAATTTGTAACTACAGCTGATTTTTGAAAGATCTTCACAAACAAATAAGGGATGATGAAGGTTGAGGTTGATGGAATTTGGGTACTTGGACAATTCCCTCCTATGTGGAGCTTACCATTGTACCACGAGTCCCTTAGTCTGTGAAAAACTACATCATTTTGATTTAGAGACATATGTCATATTGATTTTTAGGTGTTTCCAAATTTTGATGATATTAGGTCATGGACACATGGTACTTTAAAAAAGTACGCAACATACTGTAAAAAAGAAAACCTATAATGTGGGCTAAACTATGCAAGTCACAACACTATACCATAAAAGTAAGGACAAACATTTCTTTGCCAGCTATGTGTGGGATAGTGCCTTTATGATTTATTTTAAAGTAACAAAACAATCAGGAACAATGAAGTGTTTCTCTGTGCCTCATGAATATCTATGAATTCAGTTCATGACAGAACAAGTCATTAGATGCCGCTGCCAAACAGCCAAAAGGAGATGATTGATTGCTTTATGCAGAACCTAGCACTGTCTAAAGGTACTTGAAATCTATGGTTGATGAAATGCACAGTACTGCCAAAAATGAATGTAACTCTTGACTCTTATCACAATTTTAACCTGATGACCAGAACTACTTGAGGACTAATAATCACAAACCTCCCAACCCTACTGCAAGTATTCTTATATAAACTGTCTTTATTACTTCCTTAAACAAAACTAGTATTACATTTAAAATGTATTTGAATACTTTGTATATATATTGGTGAGGATTTTTTGGCCTTAAGTGAATATGAGCAAGGAGTTGGTTTACAGTCAAATAATGAAAATGTTCCTTCCTCAAAGACATTTATTTAATATATGAAATTATATCTTTATGTCTTTAGGTAACCATAAACTCATTTTTCAAATTTTTGTCTACTTACAAGTATTTTGGGGGAACGAATTGCTGACACTTGCCTTTATGCACAAATATGTTGTCTTAATTTAGGTTGCCTGCCTCCAAACATAGATCCAAAGAAATGGAAGAATATTTGTTTGAGGAGTATTTGTAGGGAGCAAGATAAAGGGATATATTCATTCTTTTTCTCTAAGTCTGGCAGCTCCACTTCTGGCACATGTTCGAAATAGGATGTTGTCATCGTCAGTGTGAGCTTGCCTAGAGCTGGCCACCCAGATGCAGCTAAAAAGAAAGGTGAGCAAAAAGGAAGTTAAGCAGGGCACCAAAAGCATCTGCTACCTGGGGGTATTTTTTATTTTATTTTACTTGTGTATGCGTGTGTGAATTTCTTTTCCCTGGGGAATAGGACAGGTTGGGAAATGTCACCACAGGGAATGTGCTTCCCCCAGGGAATGTCCATTCTAATCTTCCTGGGATAGTTGTGGGAACTTTTCTCTTAAGGGTCACTGCTGCCTGGCTCCTTTTTGGAAGAGAAGTCCGCTTTTTCCTGGAGAGTCACTCCAGCATCCTGCTTCTTTGTGATCACTGTTTTTTTTTTCTTGTGTGAAGATTTTTTCTTCTTGGCACTAATTGCTATCCTTCAGAATCGCTACTAACCAACTCCTCCTTGGAAAAAGCTTTCTTTTTCTTGGATTGAAGGAAAAAGGTAGATAGGTTTTCCTTTCTAGTCTCCTAATGAGTCCCCTGTGGCTTTGGCTTTGACTTACTTTTTGGTTTTTCATGTATCTGCTCCAGTGAGTTGAGGACGGAACACACCTGCTCAGGGAATGGGTGTGCACTACAGCCAGCTCTCGGGGATCCTGAGCAAGTTCTCATAGCACCTCCCTTGCTCATTATGCTTCTCCACACCATAGAGCATGGCTATTTTCTGAAGATGCAAGGGCAAGCACAGCCCAGTCCTTCTTTAAGGAGTTGTTGTCCTGTTTCTCTGGCTCCCTATCGATGTTGGTAGGAACTTCCACTGCCTGGCTGGAGAAAAGTGCCGGAAAGTCTTGAAGACCTCAGGCTATCCATGGCCTCCTTTTTAGCTTTTTTGTATTTTAAATAAAAAAATAAATCTACATGACTTTAGTCAGAATGGCACACATTCTCATTCGTATGCATCTTCACTTTTTTCTGATCAACATTTTTATCGCTACTAATAGGTCTCCACTTAACCATCCCATAACTAATTTTTTTATTTGATTCTGCATAGCACTAATTCTACTTAAGCAAAATAGTAGAACAGATTACTGGCCTGTTGACCTGGAAGCAAAAGCCCCAAGTGGCTCTTCAGGAGACTAGCATGGAAGACCCATCTATCTTTTTCTCTAAACTCAAGAAAAAGAAATATTTTTTTGCAAGAACTTGGATAATGTGATATGTATCCATATAAGATAAACTAGATTCTACATTATTCCTGACTCCACATTCCTGAAGAATCCCCATCCCATTGCCAAGAAAATTAAAAGGAGTAGATCACCAGGATTGATCACTCTAGTCGTCTTAAGGGACATTACTGTGGTTGTCAATGCACAACATTCCATTTGTCATCTAATGCTACCTAACAATTGACCCCTCAAAGCATAGTGGCTTTAAAAAAAATGAACACTGATCAAGTCAAGTTTCTGGTGGCCAGCAACTCAGGAAGGGCTCTGTGAGCAGTCTTCATTTGGAAACTCTTGTGTAATTGAAGTCAAATGTCAGCTGCTCCTGCAGTCATCTGAAGACTTGGTTGGATCTGGAGAATCCATTTCCAAAGTGGCTCACTCATTAGTCTAGCAAGATTCTGACTGTTGGCTGAAGGCCTCAGATTCTGTGCAGAGAGCTGTTTTCATGTTCTCACAGCAAGGGGGGTAGTTTCCTCTGTAGCAAGTGATTTAAGAGATAAAGGGAAGAGTTACAATGATTTATATTACCTAGTGTCAGAAGTTACACACTATCCTTCCACAATATTATGGATTGCATGGGGATGACACACAAGGGTATGAATACCAACAGGCATGGATCACTGGAAGTTATCTCATAGCTAATACATGTATTAATATCTCTTGTAGAGAGTATTAGTGTCCAAAAGAAATCATATTACAATGAATGCTTATAGCACTGGAGAATATAGACATGAATCAGAACTAAATTAAGCCTAGGCTTTTCACTTGTATACATAAGCAAGTAGTACCATGCCCTACTCTTTCAGGAAAGATGTAAAGCAAAGATATAAGCAGGTGATTGTATTAGTCACTTTTCCATCACTAGGACAAAATACCTGATACTCACAACTTAAAGTGGGAGAGGTTTATTTTGGCTGTGTTAGTTACTTTTCTCATTGCTGAGACAAAATACTCGACACCCAGTTAAAGGAGAAAAGGTTTATTTTGGCTCACAGTTTGTAGAGGTCTCAGTCCATAATCCACTGGCTCCAAGGCAGGGTGGCATTGCAGAGGGGCATCTCAAGGTGAAACAGTTCATGGCAGACAGAAGGTAGCAAAGCAAAGTACCGAAGAAGCAAGGCCAAGTGACCTTAGCAGCTTTTTTCTGTCCCTTTTGTGTTCTGTCTAGGCTACTGGGCTTAGGGCAGGTACCAAACTAATCAGTGGACTGATTTAGTAATCACACACCATTGATCTTAGCACCACACACTCTAGATCCAGCCATCTCTGAAAAGCTCCCCCTATGACTGCATGAGGTTTTGGGGGAACATCTAAATGGAAGCCATAACATTGGTTCATGGTTTCAGAGAGTTCAGTCTCTAGTTGGTTGGCTCCAAGACAGAAAAAATATGGTGGAGCAGAACTACTCAACTCATGGTAGCCTGAAAGCAGAGCTGGAGAACAATGCCAGAGAGAAAGGGGCCAGAGACCATATACAGAACTCAAGGCCTCAGTGATCCACCCAGACACAACCAAAAGTGTGCTTTACTAATCCAGTAGGTGTTTCTTAATGCAATAAAGTTGACCACCTCAACTAATGGCCATAGTCCCTCTCAAGCAGAATTCAGCCCAAAGCTGGATTTGACTTGACCTAATTGGTCCATTTAATAAGTATACAATTAAATGCCTTTAGAATAACATTGTTTCTCCACTTTACCATCATCACTCCCTACAGGCTTTGTAAAAATACATATTAATAGTACATATTTTCTACAGTCTATAATCCTACAAGCTGTATATTATCTACCCAACCCATAAAGGTAAGCCTTGGTTTAAAGAAACTGAGAGGAAATGTGAGGAAGAGAAAGAGCACTCGAAACAAGCTCATTCAGTATCCGCCTTCCCTGTGAGGGTATTGTAAGAACAAATACAGCTCTTGGCAGTATCGTGAAGGATTTAACATAAGCAAGAAGACAGTGGTCTTGAGAGTGAAGGTTGTTAAATACTACAGCAAGGAAATGGAAACTCCTTCTCAGGAGGTCTTTAGAAACAGGAAAGATTTTAATCTGTCTGGAAGAATTTAGGTGTGGTTTTTCTTGAGGGTAAGTGGATTGGCTTGTATAACTTTGCAAGTTTCCTCTATGTTTTTTGACCTCTTTCTATGACTGTTTAAAAAGCTACCCATTTTCCCTGCACCCCCCACACAAAGGCCCCTTAGGAAGCGAGTACAGCCTGACTATCCTGAAGCTTAGCAATCTCCTTTTCTGGATATGGGAGACCACCCATGCTGCACAATGATAGGTTGCCACCTAAAATCTACGTATTTGGCTTGCTGTAAATTGTCATCTCAGTCTTCCATTTGTAGAATTATTTCCCAAAGTTGGTTATTAGTTTTTTTAAGTTTTTATTATTTTGTATCTTTTTTCTAAAGTGTATTCCCCAAGCAAAAAAATTTTAATTAACTTTTAATATATGCAATAATATATGTATATTTTTAAAGCTCAACACTCTAAAGAAAAGAAAAAATAGTCTGTAATTTATGCTTTATCCAAGCCTCATCATTTTCAATGTGTGTGTTCTCATGTGAAGAAATCCAATGCTTCCAACATATTCTTTGAATGTTACATTTTCTTTTCTAAACAAACAATGTGATGATCAATTTCAATCTTATGCCCAGGCCTCTATGCAAGTATGTTTCCCATTAAAGTTCATCATAACTTTTCCAAATGTGTTTCTCAAACAAATCAAGATTGTGTTATCCCTAGAAAGTTAAATAGTCTTGATTTAATTTGAGAGAAATGTCATATATCAGAGGTCAACAGAAACTGTAGATGTCTGAGTGTGCCACTGTTAAAATTTTATGACGCTAATAGAAAGATACACAGCACCTTTTATATCCTTAACTCTTTTTTCCCTGTGTAGTTTTATAATTTTCCATGTGATCATTCAGTGAGTCTCAACTTGGAAAAACCAGTTCTTTCCAACTTTCCAAATACTATATTGTAAAAGAAAGAATTTTACAATGAACAACCATGTATCTACTGCCTTTTATGAGAACTTTAGCAGTACCCTTTTACCATGCCAGGTCCATTTTGATAAACCGGACTCCTCGTGGCCTAATGACATAATCAGAAAGCCACATAGGAACAAAGTACAAACTCTAGGGCCCTTCACCTGTTATTCATTAAAAGCATGACTCAATGCTTTCACCTAAGATAGACAAGGCCTTGAAAGTGGTTTTTGCTAAAAACTGTGACTCTTCACTTGTGCCTAAAAATGTCCAGTAGGCAACTGAAAACAAAACAAAGCTTGACTGTCACTTTTTGGAATTTTGGGTCAAATTCTTCTCACCTCTGCATGTAACTATGTTAGTCATTTAAGGAACATTTGTCGAAAAGTTGACGAAACAAAATCGATTAACTCTAAATTTACCCAGCCTATTTCATTGCCTTTCAAAGCTAAAAACACGGATGTCAAGGTGTTTCCATTTCCCTAAACCTATGGACAGCTTGGATTCCACCAGTCTCACATGACTGAGATTGCCCTTCAAGCTACAAAAGATTCCTCTCATGGGAATACAGCTGCCCCTCAAGTCACAGGATTCAAGCTGAACTATGAAACCAGGACTGAGATAATAATCAACTGGACCGTGGCCCACCTTAGCTAATCCTTAAAACTGTCCTCCTGCCCTTGTGGATGGGCCTGCCTGATCCTCCTCATCACAGTATGCCTCCTTCAGCTACTCAAGCTGGACATATTTCCCTATTTGCTGTTCCTTTCCTTCTTAGGAGACCAGCTTGATCTCTGTCAGAGCTGTGCTCCCGCTATGTTCTCTTACTTTTAATTAAAGCTCTTTTCCTATAAATCCATCCTTTCAGTTTTTGTTATCACTAAAGCAAGGACCCATGCTAGCCGATGACACTAATACACGAGTGAATCTCTGCTTGGTAACTCCCCAAGTTGAGAACATTTGGGCAAGCTTTACATTTTATGTTCTGAAATACAATAATAATAGATTTTTAAATAATTTTGACTATAATGGATTAAAATACATTAAATATGGAGTCCATAAATTCACCATAAAACTTTAATAAAAATTCACTGATCATCTTTAGAGGTTTCTGGTACCAACTCACCATTTCTAAAAATGAATCAACAAAGGGGAAAAAAAAATAAAACATTTGTCCTATTTTCATTGTCACACTGTTTGTCTGGGTGGCTAACTGATGGGTAAGACAAAGTTATTCACAGAAGAATTACAGCTAATAAGTGTATAGAGAATGAAAAAGCAGTCACCACCACCCCTATTTTGCAACCCCTAAAAAATAAAGGGACTAGAAAAACATCAAAGTCTACTCAATCAAAGGATCATAGGGAAAATTATAAGAGGTTAAACAGGCTGACATCTCCTGAAACAACTGACCAATCTTAGTATCTCCAAAAGTAGGACAGGAGCGATCATCCCTGAATGATATATTAAGAAGTACACAGTGCCATCTATAAAATATTTTCCCTAAAAAATGGCACTAGAATTTAAAACAAGCCTATGAATAGATCCAAATCCCAGTTTATTGAAAAATACAGGAATAGGAGCACACGTGAATACTGTATTATAATGAGTAAGCAGCCAAATGCAGAAAAGGGCAGTTTTTAAAGCAGGGGTCCCCAACTCCTAAGCCACAGACTGGTTGGCAGCCTGTGAGGAACCAGGACGCATAGCAGAAGAGAGCAATGAACAAGCCTGAGAAGCTGCATTTCTATTTACAGCCACTCCCATCACTGCCTGCATTCCACCTCTTGTTAGACTGGCAGTGGCATTAGATTCTCATATGTGAACCCTACTGTGAACTGTGAATAACAAGAGACCTAGGCTGCTTTCTCCTTATGAGAATCTAACACCTGATGAGCTGAGGTGGAGCTGAAGCAGTGATGCTAGTGCTGGAGAGCAGCTGTAAACAGTGACTCATATTAGCAAAAAAAAGTTTGCACAGAGACCATAATAAACCCTACTGTTCACAGGTTCAGATCCAAACCCTCTCAGTGAGTGGCAAGTGATGTTTAAGCTACATCTGGGGGCAGGCTTTAGAGTGGCAAGAGAGTTGATGTACCTTAATTTTACAACTGCATCTGGTGGCAAGCTTTAAATTAGAATGAACTTTAGTTTATGCATAGCCTGGCCATGATTTTATTTACCTGATTTTTCATTGTGGGGAGTTGTATAGTTATTCCATGATATATTGCAATGATATTGCAATATTGTAATGATAATAAAAATAAATATATGATAAATATAATGTACTTGAATCATCCCCCAACCACCCTCCCCTGACCCCCTGGTTCATGAAAAAATTGTCTTCCACAAAACCAGTCCTTGGTGCCAAAGAGATTGAGGATTGCTATTTTAAAAGCCTATTAGGCAGGTTTTTCAATAACTAAAGGGTATAAGACTGGAGAAAGAGAATAAGTAGAAATAGATTAAAAGAGACTTAAGAAACACATTAACCAATTCTTAATTATGGAACTTCTTCACATCCTGATTAAAAAAACAAATTGCAAAAAGCTATTTTTGAGATAGTTGAGGAAATTTGAATGTGGAATGAATATTAGATGATGTAAGAACTGTTTAAAATAGTGTTTTAGTAGTATTGTGGTTATGTTTAAATTTTTAAAACATCATTATCTCTAATAGTTATATACTGAAATGCCTTATAATGAAATGATATGATGCACAGAATTTGTTTTAAAATCCTCCAAGAAAAAAATATAGATAAGTGGATAAAATCAGATTGTCAAGATATTCTCTCTACATTTAGATACATTTGGAAATGTCATTAAAAGAACAAAGAATAAAAAATGTCAACAGGTATCATAGTAAGGCACATGAGGACAGAGAGTAGAGTAAACAAAGGTTCATTAGATTTAAAATATATGTTCTAGTTAAATAAGTTACCACATAGGAAAATGTTGAAAAATTATGTTGAGGTCATATTGAATATGTATTGGGGCTGCTTTCATTTGCATAGTAAGGATGTAGTAATTCATTTTGTAATAAATGTGAAACCAGTAAGCAATTTTACATTAAACAATAAAAAATTTGTTTTGAGAAAAGTTGAGTCCACTGTTAAAATTTTTTGCAGTTAATCATTATGAAGTAACTGGAACATAACTTTAAAAGAGAAAGGCAAGATTTCACCTCTTTATTTTTTAAAATCCATAACAATCTTATAAGAGGGAAAAGCTATTTTCAAACAACCTTACCTTTCCAGTGCTTCTGACATACTCTGCATTTTCTCTCCCCAATCTATTCCCTAACATGAAAATGAGACTCTCCATTTAATTGGGAAAAAATAAAATAGCTGATCAAAGGCAGAGAAGCAAAAGATCTTGGGGCAACAAAGGGTGTTAAAGGCAAAATGAATGTGGGAGCCACCACGAACTCCACTCCCCAAGGCCATGCCATCTCCCCACTGACAGGCTGCAGACAATGAAGCATCAAGGACTCCATGCAAGGATTCTTGGCAGGGTCTGTCATCAGCTAGATTAGACCAAACAAGGAGCTTGTCTTCTGGACCCAAAACAAGAAAACTAAGGAGAAGAAATAGTGAAACTCTCAGCTGGAATTTGCAGATTTCAGCTTCAAGTAGCATTCTGCCATCCTGTCACCCACCTTGGACAAACAGGAGCTTTTTGCAAACATGGAGGGCTTCAGTAACTCACTTCTTGGGAACACTAAGCAAAATGTCCCTGGATAAATCAGTGCAAGGAGTCTTGGGAAATTTGGCAGCACCTTCATGTTTCAGGGATTCTAGGAGGTAATAAACAAATGAGATTGCTCACTTTAGGAAAAGTCTTCTAATATAGATGAGGATTCAGCCCTAGAGAATAGACACAAGAGGCAAGAAGGGATGACCCTGATGAAAGGAGGCCTATGTGAGAACAGCTAATGTGCTGATCTGGCAGTGGGAGAGGCCATGGCAGTCAAGGGAAATGCAGAAGACAAGGGGTGGGGTAGTTAGTGTGTTGGATTAATGGTCAACTCGAGTGGGAACACCCAGCTGAACTGAGTCAGGTGGTTCTGTGCCTGGAAAACCCATCTGATGATTGCTGCCAATGGTATAAAAGTAAAACAGGAGGGGAAGGTTGCATGCTGTTGATTTTCCTGGAGAATCTTGCTGCGGCTGGTTTTCCTGATACAACTCAGTTGTTCTCCTGGAAGGGGTTGGTCCAGGTCCTCCCTGTCGCCACTAGGGATGGCCACTGTTCTCTTCAGGGCAACTCTGGTCTTTGCCTTGAACATTGTTTCCTGGCTCCAGTGCACATCCCTCAGCCTTCTGGTACAGATCCTTCAGCCCGCTGGCACAGATTTTCTAGCTTCTCCCATGGGTCTTTGGTCCTTCCCCGTGCAGATCCTTGATACGGACTGGTGAAGGACATTGCCATGGGATCCAGGCCTTCCACTGGATTCTTTGGGTCTTTAGAGTGTGAACTGATCTCTTCCACTCTTCTATGTATGACTTTTGGGGTGGATATTATAAAGTAATCCTGTAAATTATGTGTCCTGTATTAAATCTATTCCCTTGCAAACCTTGACAACAGAGGGTAGGGGAGGATGGGAGGTTTAAAGAGTTGCTAAGGGGAAAAAGGAAAAGAAAGCAAGCCTGGAAGTGGGTATGAACCAGCCTCCACAGTCACTTTATATGCCTTTAATGTAAAACACATTTATACTTTCATACCTAATACACCCTGGAAAAATAATATCAAGGCAGACTCAGGTTCCTTCTTCCTTAAAATATTCCTTTTCTATGTCTTTCAACTCTTTGGATTTTTTTCTTAGAAATAACCTATGCTTTGACTAAATTGTCATCAGCAATTTCTATAATTCAAAACAATGTAGAAGCAATCTGCAAAAAAATTGTTCCATTACCGCTTAATTTCTATTTCAAAATATGTCATGTACCATCCTCTGCCCCTCTCTTGCCCAGACACATTACACACTACACAAATGGCTGCCCAGTAAAGGAGGGGTCCTTCCAGCCTATCTGGGGCATTGTGTGTGCCATTTTATCCCTGCCTGTCACCTTTGCTCAGGTTCCCAACCCCATCCCAGTTTCTTCCCAATCTTTATTTCTCCTTCACTGGTTTACAATATAATTCCATTGACATGGACTCTATCCTTAAATATCCCTTGCCCTAGGCATAGCTTTAATGCTCTGGTGAGAAAAGAAGAGAAGAGGAGGATGGGGTACAAATTAGAGTCCTGGAGATCTGCAAGGGGCCTCATGCCCAACAATGACGCGAGTCAGTGATGACCATATAGCAGGTCAGTCCTTCTGGGAGGTCCTGCAAAAGTTGGTGTCCTACGCCTCATTTTCTCTTCTGTCTTCTTGCTGCTGGTTTCTTTGGTTACAGAGATTTATGAAGCAACCCCTGCATCAAATGTTACACATCTTCACGTCCCGACAAAAGAAATGCCCTGAAGAGCCATATTCTGGCATTTCAAGGCTCCAGCTTAGAAATTGCTCAAGTTACTGCTATTTACAACTTATTGGTGACAACTAGTCATCTGGTTCCACTCAACTAGAAAGGGGCAAAGAAGTACATTCTAACCCATGTGTCAGGAACTGAGAAAGACCGGAAATATGACAAACAGTCTAGTGGTGCCATGCTTCATTGTTAAAAAGCAAACTTTCTGTTTTTCTTGTTTTTAGTGGAAATAGATATATGGATAATGATATAAAAAATTATATAATTTGTAACCATTAAAATGTAATCTTAATGAGGGTAAGAAATTTTTAAAACTGATTTGTCTCTACCACTTAAAACAATGCTTGTGACACAGAAGACATTAAACAAATATCGTGAGGTAAATAGAACTCCTATAAGAAATAAGCAAAGGCATGAAAAAGAGAACTGAGAGCAATGTTACTTTCATCAGAATACTTATAGCTAACTTACTATTCATTATTTTAAAAAACACCAAGTAAGAAACTTCCCTCACCAAATGATTTACCAATTACTGAACATCGAAATGATGCTGATATCACCAGCAATGGAGATCTTTCCTTTCAGCAGGCCCTAGGACCTCCCAACTGACTGCTGGACCTTATGGTTATTTAGGGGGAGCTTCCTTATTAGGGGAGGGGGCTTCTCTGAGTCTTCCCTCTGATCCTTGGCCCAGAGTCTGGGCTCCCTGGGCACTGGATCTGGCATTGTATAGTTTGAATCTAGCAAGGAAGCCTGATATTATTCATATGATGACAAGCAACACTATGTAGTGACTAGTATGAAAAAAAAAGAGGAAGAAATCAGGACAGGAGGTGTTTGTGTTTCCTGGCTTTACTTACTGGGTTCTGCGTTCTGGATGTTGGTCCTTTCCCATGGTCAGAATCAAAATGTGGCCACTTCAATGGAGCTGCCTAAGGTTTGGAAGCAGTAGTCTGGAAGGTTAATCCAAACTCCCCATGCCAAGAGCTGTATCTCATTCTTACATGCCTTCCCCGCATCAGACTCCTCTCCAGCATATGATGAACTTGAACTCCTGAGGAAGTTAAACAGAAATCAAGTCAGGATGTTCTGGACAGACCATCCATGGCTGAAAGCCAGTCAATCCTCAACAAAAGCTCCAAAAAAGGACCCCTACATCTCTTGGATGCTTTGGGGTTTTTCTTCTAGAGAGGACCATCCATGGACCAGGGCTGTGTCTATTGTTTACTTGGAGTGAGTTGGAAGACACAGGGTGCCTGTTAATTTGGACAAAGTGGATGATTAATAATTTCTTTTTCCTTCTATTGCTATTTCCTAGCCCTTTTGTGTTAAAGGTAATGCTACAATAATATATTCTCTTTTACCCAGAGGCAGCATACAGTATGGAGGATAAGAGCAGGGGAGCCAGACAAAATAGGGTGAATCTTGCCTGTTTCTCTTAGGAGCTATGTGACTCCAGACCAGTTATTGAACTCTCCATGCCTTAGTTTTATCATCTGTAAAATGAGCTTTGTTATGGTTTGGCTGTGGTTGGAGTGTGTCCCCCAAGGGTCCATATTTTGAAATTTAACGACCATTGTGAAATATTAAGAGGTGAAACTTAATCTGACAATGGTGTTGAGAGGTAGGGCCTTTGGGAGGTGATTGGGATTAAATGCCTCTGGGTGGAACTCCCACGACTGAATTCTTATGGCTTTATAAAAAGCGACCAAAAGATGTATGCATACTCCCTGTCTTTGGGCCACTTTAGGTTTCCACAGCAAGAAGGCCATCACTAGATGCAACTCCTCAACTTAGGACTTGTAGAACAATGAGCCAAAATAAACTCCAGTCTTATATTAAAAAATAGTCAATATTTCATGATAATAACCCAAAACAGACTAATACAAGCCTGCTGTGGACATCTTGCACATTATATAGAGAGATTTACTGCCAGTCTACTGTTGCCTTCTGCTGGCAAGAACAATGCAGTTGTAATAAGGATTGGTTAGAAGAATCATGACATTAATTCCTAAAATACAACTATTCTATTTTAAATTCATTTTTGTAAAAGAAAGCCAGATCCTTATTTTTTATAGTTCTAATTGGTATCACCACAAAGTTCTACCAAGTTAAAATGTCATTTCAAATTGCTATTCTCTCTTTGACATACTGCTGATGGGAGATGGGAATATATGCATTTTCCAGCTTATGAAAATCACAATTGTTAGCTGTATTATGTACTACAGTGACAGTGTGCATACACCATCATAGGTTTTTCTCCTAACAATCCCTATTTTTTTCTGTAAGAGGAAAAATCTCTCTCTCTTCCCCTCCCATCCCCCCAAATTTGCCATAACTATTTGCCATATCCACTTCCTTCTCTAAATAGATTACTATAAAGATTGCCTCTAAGAAAGCTTTTCTGTGATGGACTAGGATGTGGCTAGGTGAGCAGTCAGTGTTGGCAGCATGAAGAGCCTGAGCTGGGAGAAAATAGCATGCAGAGACAGCTCATGTGGGAAATTCAGCAGCCCATTAAATGATCAACCTACTACAGGGGTTGGAGGACAATTAGGTGCAGTGTCAGAGTCTACACTAGGGAAGGCAAACACCCCTGTAAAGGGAGGGAAGCCCAACGACCAGTGCGAGAGCTCCAGCAGGGGAGAATTAGCATGTAAATGAAACAATTGCACTGAATTCCAACATCACAGTTGCTAAATCTTTGTTATGGTGCAATAAATAGCTCCACCTGTGGTACTCCAGTTGTTGAATTCTGGTTACTCTGTGCTTGCATTCTCTGTTCTAGATTCTCTTCCTCTTCTTTTTTGTAGTTCCAGGTGCAAACTGAAGTACAGAGAACAGTTCCAACCCACACTTACTCAAAGAACACACAAAATGCCACAATAATACTCCACCATAGTGCCAGGGCAAGTTTCCTCTGTAGAAGGAGAAATCACCCACTTCTTGAGACAATATTTCCACCTTCAAACAAAGAATCCCATATACACCATCATCACTAGGTACAATTAAAGTTTAGCTTGTCATTTGACTCTATATCCTTTACAGTGGGGTAAACACAGCTCAGTAGGGCTGTGATGACTGCTCAGCACAGTTCACGCTAGGTGTAGGATAAAGCACAGCTACCTTTTGTGACCACATCTTTCCCCATGCTCTAGATAGTTGTTATAGACTGAATGTTTATGTCCCCAACATTCATATATTCAAATCCTCAATGCAATGGAATTGAGTGGTATGGCCTTGAGTGATAATTAGGCCATGGAAGTGGAGCCTTCAAGAACAGGATCAGTGGTCTTATAAGAAGAGATATTAGAGAATTATTTTTGCTCTCTTTCATGTAAGGATACAACAAAAAGGCACTTATCTGCAACCCAGCAGGAGCTCTCACCAGAACATGACCATGCTGCCACCCTGAGCTTGGACTTTTAGACTTCTGGATTGTAGAAAATACATTTCTATTGTTAACAAGAAGTCATTTGCTGGTATTGTATTATAACAGTCCAAACTGACTAAAATAGTAATCCTGATTGACAGATTCAGTAGAGTAGCTGGATATAAGGTCAACACTCAAAAAACAACAGCCTTCTTATATGCAAATAGCAGACCCATTGAGAGAGAAATTCAGGAAATAATTCCTTTTACAATAGCATCTAAAAAAATGAAATATCTAGGAATCA